CCCTGACCCCGACTCCCACCTCTGACCCTGACCTCTGACACTCTCTGACCCTGACCCCCACCTCTGACCCTCCCAGACTCCCACCTCTGACCCTGACCCTGACCTCTGACCTCCACCTCTGACCCTGACCTCTGACCCCACCTCTGACCCCGCCCTCCCTGACCCGACTCCACCTCTGACCCTGACCCCGACTCCCACCTCTGACCCTGACCCCGACTCCCACCTCTGACCCTGACCCCGATCCCCACCTGACCTCTGACTCCCTGACCTCTCTGACCCCGACCCCGACTCCCACCTCTGACCCTGACCCTGACCCACCCCCTCTGACCCTTGACCTCTCTGACCCCGACCCCAGACTCCCACCTCTGACCCTGACCCCGACTCCCACCTCTGACCCTGACCTCTGACTCCCACCTCTGACCCTGACCTCTGACCCCACCTCTGACCCCTGACTCCGACTTCTGACCCCAGACTCCGACCCTGACTCCCACCTCTGACCCTGACCCCGACTACCCTGACCCTGACCTTACCCTGACCCTGACCTCTGACTCCACCTCTGACCCGACTCCGACTTCTTGACCCAGACTCCCACCTCTGACCCTGACTCCCACCTCTGACCCTGACCCCAGACTCCCACCTCTGACCCTGACCTCTGACTCCCACCTCTGACCCTGACCCGACTCCCACCTCTGACCCCGACCCCAGACTCCCACCTCTGACCCTGACCTCTGACTCCCACCTCTGACCCTGACCCCGACTCCCACCTCTGACCCCAGACTCCCACCTCTGACCCTGACCCCGACTCCCACCTCTGACCCTGACCTCTGACTCCCACCCTGACCCTGACCTCTGACTCCCACCTCTGACCCCTGACTCCGACTTCTGACCCAGACTCCCACCTCTGACCCTGACTCCCACCTCTGACCCTGACCCCAGACTCCCACCTCTGACCCTGACCCCGACTCCACCTCTGACCCCAGACTCCGACTTCTGACCCAGACTCCCACCTCTGACCCTGACCCCAGACTCCCACCTCTGACCCCAGACTCCCACCTCTGACCCCAGACTCCGACTTCTGACCCCAGACTCCCACCTCTGACCCCAGACTCCGACTTCTGACCCCAGACTCCCACCTCTGACCCTGACTCCGACTTTCTGACCCAGGACTCCACCTCTGACCCTGACCCCGACTCCCACCTCTGACCCTGACCTCTGACTCCCACCTCTGACCCTGACCCCGACTCCCACCTCTGACCCCAGACTCCGACTTCTGACCCCAGACTCCCACCTCTGACCCTGACCCCGACTCCCACCTCTGACCCTGACCCCGACTCCCACCTCTGACCCTGACCCCGACTCCCACCTCTGACCCCAGACCCTGACCCCAGACTCCCACCCTCCTCTGAACCCCAGACCCCAGACTCCCACCTCTGACCCTGACCCCAGACTCCCACCTCTGACCCCAGACTCCGACTTCTGACCCCGACTCCACCTCGACCCTGACCCCGACCCCAGACTCCCACCTGACCCTGACCTCTGACTCCCACCTCTGACCCTGACCCAGACTCCCGACCTCTGACCCAGACTCCCACTCTGACCCTGACCCCAGACTCCGACCTCTGACCCAGACTCCAACCTCTGACCCTGACCCCAGACTCCCCCCGACCCCAGACTCCGACCTCTGACCCCAGACTCCCACCTCTGACCCTGACCTCTGACCCCAGACTCCCACCTCTGACCTCTGACTCCCACCCCTGACCTCTGCCTGACCCTCGCGTGACCCCTGCCTGACCTCTGACCCCGGTTTTATTAAAGGTTTTTCCAAAGGTTTTTCTGTGTTGTTTTTATTTCAGCCTGGATTTTCACTGAAGGTGAATCTAAAA